AGAAAATTTACAATATTAGTCAACATTATAATTAACTGCACCATATTATTATATATACCATATATTATTGTGATTATTATTGATAATGATTTCTAATTATAGTATGTGTAATAAAGTATGAGATACATAATTAATTATATGAGTACGATCGACATAGGTGTCGATCATTACTTTAGAAATTTTTCACATAACACAAAATATAATAATAACAATAACAACAACATTTATTTAAATATAGATTGTCACGTAACATCAAATAAAAAGTTTTTCAATTATTTTGTCACCAAATTTTTTCATAATTAATTTATATTCATTTTACTGGTTAACTGAATATTTCAAAATTTGAGAGATAAAGACAAAAATCAAGACGAATTAAATAATCAATATTATTTTTTGTCAATTTCAAAACTAGTCATTTAAACTAGCTAATGTACATCTTAAAAATGTAAATAAATAATTAAAACACGCAATAAATCACTAATTAATTAATCAACATATATAACTAATAAAACCAAAGCATATTGCATATATCTCAAATTTGGAGATTTTTTAAAATTAAAATGTATACTTGATGTCATTCTTTATTAAAATCTTGATAAAAGAAATTAGATAATAAAGAAAAATGGTCACTTTAATTATTTGATTTATTTCTATATATTTAATGAATTTGAACTTTAATATATATTTTGAGTTCATTTAATATAAACATAATTGTTTTAAAAAAAATTAGAGGGGGACCAAAAGTGTATTTTATCCCTACTATATCAATATATACATACATATTTATTAAAAAATTTAAGGTGAAGGTAGGGGTGGGGTGAGGTGGGGGGCCAAGGCCCCCCTAACCCCTTAAGTAGCTCCGTCCCTGAATATATATATATATATATATATATATATATATATATATATATATATATATATATATATATATATATATAAATTAACGATTACGTTTTATTCTATGTTATAATTTTTACGTTGTTGTTATTATTATTATTATTATTATTATTATTATTATTATTATTATTAACACTTGATTACTTTTAGATATTATTATTACCACTTATATTATTATTATTATATTATTATTATTTTTCCTGTCAAGTTCTGTTAGTATATAATGATCGTGAGGCACAATAATAATATAACTATAATTAAATATTCTTGTATCCTACTCCATGAGACACAATAATAATATAACCATTATTAAATATTCTTGTATTCTACATTCTTCTAGGATTTCTATTACCATCATTAATTATTCATAGTTTACCATAACTAAATAATTTGACTAATACAATGAGTTTGGGCTGGAAAATGCTAGAAGGATGATTTTACTTTTAATTATATATATATATATATATATATATATATATATATATATATATATATATATATATATATATATATATATATGAATTTTATCTTTATATAAATATTAATATAAAGTTTATTTATTACATAAACTATTGTATAAACTTTATATAACTTAATAATATTATACTTACAAAAATATAAATATTATATGTAAACTATATTAGTGTTAAATATAAATTAAATAAATTATAATTATATATTACAAAATAAAATTTAATTATCTAAATATATATTCTATATACACACACACATGGAATTTGTTCAAAAGGTGAAAAAGGTTTAATGTGTTAAAGTATTAATCTTTAATTAGTTGGCAAATTATGCTGTGCATCCGTATGCATCATGCATGGTGCATACGGATGCAAAAACGACGTCGTTTTATTAAAAACGCGCGTCTCTCCTTAAAAAAAAAATCAGGTTCGATTCCCAGCAACAACATATGAATTAAAATTCCAGAATTGATGAACTATAATTCCAGAATCAATGAACTATAATTCCAGAATCAATGAACTATAATTCCAGAATCTATGAACTATAATTCCATATCTAATCTATGAACTAAAAATTCCAGAATGAATGAACTAAAAAATTTCAGAATCGATGAACTACAATTCCAGAATCGATGAACTATAATTCCAAAATCAATGAACTAAATTCAATATTCTATGAACTAAAATTCCAGAATGAATGAACAACATAATGCTTTGCTGGGAATCAAACCTGATTTTTTTTTTAAGGAGAGACGCACGTTTTTAATAAAACGACGTCATTTTTGCATCCGTATGCACCATGCATGGTGCATACGGATGCACAGCATAACTATCCTAATTACTAGGTTAAATTTTGGATCTTGGGCTATATAAAAGCTTTAATATTTTAACAAATAAATTATAAAAAAAATACCATTAAATAATTAATAATAATTGGGTTGGCTAGTTTAGCCCACCAGTCCACTGTTTGAAGGGTTGGCCTGGCCTGTTTTCAACTTAGCCCGCGATTGGTCAACCCATATGGGCCAGGTAGGCCCGTGCGTTTTGACACCTCTATTACTTGTCCTAATTAACTCATTATTATTTGGGGTCCATTATTTATTATATATTTATTAGTTTCTTAGACTGTGATATTGTGTTGTTATAAATATATTCTTTTGGGTCTAGTACCTCTATTAATAATAATATTATTTTACTCTCCTCTTTCGAATATCTATATCCAGTTTATGATTGGTCTATATCTCATAAAACCATCAATAACGATAAACAAAATCAACATGCCTTTAATAATTAAAAGACCAAAAATATATTTTTCCTATTAACTAAATATATTATATAAAGTTGGACAAATAAAATTATATATTCAAGAGTACGTAGTTCTATCATTTTTTTTTTTTTAAAGAATATTTCACGTGGGTCCTGCCGGTAATGGATGATGAATTGATGATGCATATGCATGCGTTTATAAATAAAGAGTAGAAGACTTGCGTAATGCATTCTCATTTACTTTCACGCTATACACATTGCCGACCCGCCATGTGATTTTTTTCAATCCTTCACGTGGGTAGTGTTTACCTCGTTGTGCTTTAAACGTGATTTTTACATTTGAAACATGTGACTAAAAGAAAACGAGTGGCACAGATTCGATGACAGTTTTATTTCGTGACACTCTCGTACAATGAAACCCCACAACGATATTCCTTTTCTGTTCTACCTTGGCTAAATCTTTATCTCAGCCCTCTGCGTTCCAGGTCCGATGTCTCCCCTCTATTCACATATCATTAACTTAGCTTGCATGTGGTAACCACTAGGTCACGAGTTTGAATCTTAACTTTCTTGGTTTGAACTGGTCAGCTATAGACAACCTAAGTTAGTTTATCTCCTTATAGTCTTTTCTTGGCTGCTAGAGTAACAAGACAAGGTTTACATAGTACACACCCTCGAGTAGTGTTGTAAAAATCGTCCTAGGCGCCTCTAGGCCGAGGCGATTTCAGCCCTAGGCGGCTTTTAGTTGGCTGGCCAACTAGGCGTCGAGTTGGGTGCCTAACTCCGCCTAGTTGGCGTCTAACTAGGCTGTGTCGGCGTCCAACTCGGCCTATTGGTATGTTTTGCTTGCTCGGTTGCTTATCTTCTATATTTTTTCAGTCATGTACTGAACTAACCATCTAACATATGTAGTTGACTAGTTTGTGCGATTATAATAGTCTACCAACTTACATCCCTGAGTGAGAAAAGTCGAGACTATATACTCGAATTACTCGACTGTCTATGAGGCGCTAGGTGCCCGACTAGGGCCTAGCACCTTTTGCAACATTATCCTCGAGTAGTGACTGCTGTTTTTTCTTGTATGTCACCGAAACAAATTATATCTAAAGTTACAACTCAATCTATAGACTATAAGTGGAACATAAGTGCGGATCGGAAGTGGATGAAAAGCTAAGTAATTAAGGTAATGTACATCGACCAACAACATCCAACGTTAACGAAAGCAAATTAAAGGAGAAATTGTGGAAAGAGAGTGAGAGAAGAAAGACAAGTCATTGTCGTGCATAAATGACTGATTTCCCAAAACAAGAATTAGGATGGGATAATCCGAAGCGCATATGCGGTGTTGCCACTGGATAGCACTTTAATGATTAGATTAGGTGTGGATGGGATGGGATGATGAGGAAATTAAATGATATGATTAGTCGCCCAGATCCATGAGAGTTGCAGTTAATAAGGTGTTGAAAAAGTTAGATGGGGAAGTGATGATAAAAGCAGCATGTGGAAACTTCCCTTGGGGATGATCAAAGAGTTAGGCTCACGTCCATCTTCATACACGTAACCCCATCAACACATATGGGTAAATTTAAAAAGATAGGATTGAATTTGCCATAAATGGCTTCTTTGCCTTTCCACATGTCCTTTTTCTGTGATCCCAGTTCGGTATTTGTTCCTACCTAGATGCTCCAATCTCCATTATATTATATCTCATAACCAACCATATATGCATGCATATATAACATATATGCATGCATGCATGAATTGAAGTTATTAAGTTATTGCAATTAGTTGTAGAGAGATTGATTGGAACAGAAACGCAAGTGGGCACGTAAAACATAATGGTGATGATGACATCATGCCTAAGCTAATTAAGCTATCCGGTTTACGTCACTATCACCCAAAACCCTTTCTCTCAATTCACTCACTTATAAATAGAGCAATCAACTGATGAAGATTGACAATAAAACTAACACTTGAACGCACAAATTATTCTCTCGCACAAATTATGTCACTTCAACCAAATTAAGGCCCAGTTTGGTAAAAAAAATTGGCCTATAAGTCCATTTTGGCTTATTTGACGACTATTGATTGTTTGATTTAGTTAAAATATCAATATAAGTATTTGGTTAATTAGCTTTTTGCAACTCCAAAATGCTAAAATTTAAAAAACTACTCCAAGCAACGTTTTCAATTAGCTTTTTCATAAAAAAAAAAAAAAAAAATCTATCAAACACTTTTCTACAACAGCTAATGTTATCAACTAGTTATGCCCTCTAATTAACACAATCAGCTAACAGCTAACAGCCATTTACCAAACATGGCCTAAATGTTTCAGAGGTAATAATTAAGGTTAATCATTGATCATAATTAACACAATATAAGTAGACTTGGATTTAGTATATAAACAGAGGTGTACGATTATCATCGTATATTACACAGTAGTCGTCATTACTTATGAATAATGCAGAATTTTAAACATATATGTATAATATAATATATATAAACTACGTACTACATGCATGCAGTAGCGGCGGGGGAATATGCCGGCCGGCCGGCCGGCCAGGCGGCCGGAATGATTATGGTAGATAGGGTTTAATTTAATTAGCTAGGATATTGGCATCCTGGGTAGCTAATTAAGGTTTAATCTGCGTTAAGCAAATGCATGGACCAGAGGTCTTCCATGCTCCACATGTTGTCGTTTGATTCAGTGGCGAAAGGGCCCTGCTGAAAGGTGGCGTCCATGTTGTTGTTGTTGTTGTTACTGGCGTACGAGGTGGGAGAATAGGTTTCCACCGTGTCGGGCGCCGACGCTTGGCTTGTGCTCGCTTGCTCGCCGCCGCAGCAGCTGGAACTGCTCTGCCTTGTCGCCGCGTTTTCTCCTCCGGCCGCCTGCGGCTTCATATGCTTCTGGATCCTAGTCCTCCAGTAGTTCTTTATCTCGTTATCTGTTCTCCCCGGCAAATGTTTCGCAATTTTCGACCACCTATAGTACAATTCAACGTTATAGCAATTAAATTAATTAATACCATAGATTATGAAAATAAAGACAAGTATTGATTTGAGGTTTGAAATATGCATGCATGGCCCCACATTTACCATTGTATTTCGACGCAAATAATAAACAATTTCGTGGCTCAAAATGAAACCCCCCTCACGTTTTGTGGCTGAAATTCAAAGTCCCTATTGCCTCCATTCTTTTATTTAAAGAAACTCACATTCTCCTATAACGAAAGCCAACATTTTTCAAATTGGCTTTGAACCCTATGCTCAACTCAGGTCCATATATAAGCTCATTCATTTCTACCAATCCTTGCCTTATAAACCTTCCACCACACTATGATATGAGCTTAATTTCCGCGGTACAAATCTACTTCAGCCCGATCACGTCATGATATATATGATGGTAATGTGTGATGATTAGTTATCCCGTTTATTATAATTCAACGGTATAAACCTCTGGAGTTTAATCTTTATTCCTCTAATTAAATAAAAGAAAAAACAATTTAACATTTTCTATTATTAGTAGTTCTTTCTGATCTGTACAGTTGTACAAAAAGCTAAGGTTTTAATTTTAATTTTGGCAGCACCCTAATTAGGGTTAAGTTAACAATATGCTTTTACTAATTGTCTTAATCATGGGTATTATTAGACTATTATTATTATATTGTGATCTTTAATTACTTTTGCTCTATCTGATAGTTGGGTTTTGGTTGTTCTTCCTTTTTGTTTTATGGTTATGAATGGCAGGCTTATATATGATTCGGATGGAAGGTGCGCCGTTTTGTTTTCGAAAACCCTAAGGTACACAAAATTAAAGGTGGGGCCCTTTGACTTGAAGAGGAAAAACAATAAGGTAGCTGTCTATTTCAGCAAAAGCAAGTTGGAGCTTCCTTTTCATCATGATTCCAACTGCACTGCTAGCTAGGAAATGGCTCAACACGTGACTCAATTCCTAAGGGTCCACCTTAAAATCACTTCTTTTAAAAACAAAAAATATATATAAAATACTTCATCTCCCTATTTCTACAATACCCTTTTTTATTAATTTATTCGTCACCGAGTACTTTTTATGATATAAAATATTATAATATATATAGATATATACTCACTGTGGGCACGATAAGTTAGTGATTACAATATATATAGATATATACTCACTGTGAGCACGATAAGTTAGTGATTACATGCTAATTAATCATGTTTAAGCAATCAGTTAAGAATAATTAATTTATTAATTTAAAAGAATAGAATCTAACATTATATTTCAATTAGGGGATTCATTAATCATTTTACATATTTTTTTTTTAAAAAAAGCAATCAAATAATGATGTTATATGCTAATTTTATGAACTTCATCAAAGAAACTAATAATTAAGTAAAAACAAGGTAGCAAGTAGAATTTCTTGAGTTTTTTTTTTCTTTATTTTTTGGGAAAAAGTTTGAGAACAAATTAAATCTGGGAAAAGCTAGGCAGAAATCTTAGTAGATGAACACTGACCATATATTGATTTCCGCACGTGGATTGAAGAGATCGATAATCCCCACGTTGCTATTCTCTCTACCAATGAACTAATAACTCACTTTGACTTGAAGAGATCACACAGCCACAAGCTATGGATTTTGATTCTTTATTTATTTATTTTTTGGGCGACACAAAAGGGTACACATAACACATATAGCTTGCGGCTCATCTCTTCTTTGTCTTACGGCGAATAATCGAATTCTTGGATGAGAAAATTCCACATTTTTTTTTATATATATACAAATTAAAATTTGTTGTTCTAGCAATTCATCAACATATATAAAACTCAAAATTAAAGAATATATATACTCACTCACCTATTTCCCCACTTAGCATGCAATTCCATAATCAGGAGTTGTTCCTCCGGCGTAATATTCCCCCGCCGGACGTCTGGCCGGAGGTAGTTTAGCCACCGGAGCCGGCAACTCTTCCCGGTACGCTTCAGACCTATACCAACAAAACAAAATCAAAACATGGAGTGAATACATAATTTTGGTAATTTTTAGGGTTTTGCTACAAAAACCAAAAAAAAAAAAAAAAACAAAAAAAAAAACACATAAATATATATGTTGTGCTATATATATATTGTACCAGCAGATCGAGCTAGAGAGTTCCAAACACCTTCACCATGATTTGCAATGTAGTTTATGAGAATCAAATCCTCTTCCATAGTCCAAGGTCCCTTCCTTATTTCAACATCTTGAGAGTTGCAAGGTTTTTTATCCATTTTTTTCAGGGAGAGAGAAGGGGGGGGGGGGGGGGGGGGGGGGGGGGATGGAAAGGAGGGATAATGTTGAAGTGAATTTTGTGGAAAATAATAATGGGGGTGGACTCATATTTATAGACCCTCATAACAAAGATTATATTATTTTACCACTTGTAATTAATTTTATTTAGTTAATATAATGTGCTTTTAGCCTAACTTAATTATTTTCTTGTAAGGATAATAAACAAAAGACTATATTGTCTAGGGCAATGCATGTATACATGACACACTCAATATGTCCATGCATGGTCACGTTATATCATTAATAGGTTATTGGTGCACAATTTTTTTAAAAACAAAAATAAAAATGTATATATATTTATACACATATATTATTATTATTATTATTATTATTATTATTATTATTATTATTATTATTATTATTATTATTATTATTATTTGCTATAATGTGTACATTAATTTATTTCATAAATTCATATATACAGCAGTCGCACATGCATGTTGCATGCATGGACACGTATTACCTTACTCCAACCAAAGTTCATTCGTTCTCTAATTGTTTGAATGGCAATTTTCCTTTGATTAGAGTAATATTTTATTGTAATTAGCGGGGTAAATGAACCGAGTCCTTCAGTCAAAGCTTGACTTGAGCTTGATCAATTTTGAGCTCGAATTAAATTCTAGCTGACTCGTTTCGCAATCGAGCCGAGCTCAAGCGTAAATATTTTCAGCCCGTGGTTTGTCAAGTCGCTCGTGAGCCCTACACACATACGTGTGTGTGTGTGTAATTGAGTCAAGCTGTTCGGTCAACTTTAAGCTCGAGCTAACTCGTTTTGTAACAGAACCGAGCTCGAGCTTCAATTTTCTAGATCGATCGAGCTCGAGCCCACACACCTATTATTTATTGAGCTCGACTCGGCTCGTTTACCGCCCTAATTGTAATGTAGTGGTTTATCGTATATGAAGAATTTACCCTAATTATATTACATAATAACACATACATTTCGGATCAAGAGGCAAATCAATAAACTGAGAAAAAAAAATACATAGATGAAAGTATTAATTAAACTAAAGAGAAAATGAAATTAGCTATTGAATTAACTTGTTTTTGCCAACCACCTTGTACTCAGATGGCATGTAGTGACTTTCCTATATAGGAGGGTTATGAGATCGAGCTTCAGTGGAGGTAGTGTTGACTCTTTGTGTTGTGCTTCAGTAGGTTGATAAAGTATAGATGAACAGATACAACAATTTAATAGAGTTAGTAGTACTAAAAAAAAACTTGTTTTTATAATGTACGCGTGCGCAAGTTAAAGGAGAGTGATGGCATCACCGATTAGGAATGTCAATTGGGCTAACCTGTTCGATTTCGGAGTAACTGAATCGAGTTATTGGGCTTAATGATTTTTTTTTTTCCTTTTTTTTATTTAATTTTTTTGTCCAAATTCTAAAACCTAGAGTTATCGAGCTTAATTTTGATAAAAAAAATTGCATTTACACTAGTAAATATAAACTTATATATCATTCAATCAATTAATATATTTACACTATAATATAATAATTTTATTTTTCATTATTTATTTTAATAAAATATGCTTAATTTGAGGTGTGGGCCAATTCGATTTTCCCACCGTACTAGTTCGATTTAGTAATATACCGAACAACCGAATGGAAATTGATTCTTGTATACCGAACAGAATAGTTCGATAAAAATCGACCGAACTGAATACTGTTTTTTTTTTCTTTTTTAAACAACAACAACAACAACAATAACAACAACAACAACAAAGAAGTAAATTCAAAATCCCTTGTTGCCTGCTCCGTCGTTTAGCTCATCATATTCTTACTGGTATCTCACTTAAATTTTTATTTGATTTTTTTATGGCTTGTTCTCTATTTTGCACTTTTGTTGTTTACCGCAATTGTTATTTGCCTCATAATTATCTCTAACTTGAGTTATTCTTAAAATATTCAGTATTTTCCTTAGTTTCATGTTTTTTTTTTTTTTTTTTTTTTTGAAAATAAAGAAGCTAATTCATTAATCATAGGCATAAACGTTTACAATAAAAATCGATGGAATGGTTAAACATCCCTTACAGTCAGAAATAGAAACAACTTCCGTAGCAATGCTAAAGAAAACTTGTTCGCAGACTGTTTCAAAAATTTGAAGCTGGATTCTTTGGAGAAACTTAAAACTTCTTGAATGATTTGGTCAAACGTACATAAGACTCACAGTGGTTGAATAGTCTTGCACACCACATAAGTATCTATTTCTATTCTTCTATCCATTGATAATATCTCCATCGGGCTGAACTGCATATCATAGTTCAGACGAGTTTTTTTTTCATTGTCATGTTTGTCACCCAGGATGAGATTCACATACGCCATAACCATTTTTATCGTTTCACGCTTTATGAAGAAAAAAAAAACTCGCCAAGTAAAAGAGAGGAAGTAACTCATCAAAACAACAAGAGGAAAAACACAGAAACGGCAAACAAAATTAAACTATTAAAACAAAGTAAAGGGAAATAATCGTGCGAAGGTGGAGAAGAAAGAAAGAATGGTGAAGGCAGAGAAAACAATGAAGGCAGACGCTGTTTGTGGTGGAGATGGCGGCAGGGGAAGACGATTGGACGCCGCCTCTGATCCGCTTGCTTCACGGAGGCGGCAATCGTGTATGAGTTTGAGTAGTTGAAAAGCAGAGATGAAAGAGAATTAGTTTTTTTTTTTTGTTTTATTTTATTTTTTTTTTTTCTAAATCCTTAGTTTCATGTTTCTATGAAATTAATGTGCTTCAACATCATTCTAATTTTGATTTCCAGTGTATTGAAAAGTAATATTCCAGTGCACTGAAAATATATTCTGCCAAGCAATGACGGATTGTGTCCAAAAATTAACTACACAGTATTTTACACTTGTTCTCCAAATATTAACTATATAGATGGATGTTTCTTCATCTTGTCCACAAAACATTATTATATTCCAAGTGAGTCAGTAGAAGAGTCGGTTGGGCAAAAAAGTCAACTGATGTTTGGTAATTAGTACTTAATAGTGTGTTTGAACTTTGGATTACTATATTGTTATATAATGTTTAGACTTTGGATTTGGACTATGTGAATATGTATTGTTTGATAGTCTGTTTTGAAAATTAGAAAATGTTAAAAATTGGAGTTCTTAAACCGAACTAATTCCGAACCTAAACCAAACCGAACTATAATGTTAAACCGAATGGTATCATTTTTTAATTCTAAAATATCAAAACTTATAAAAAAAAAAAAAAAAAAAAAACCGAATCTCGAAATGCCTACCCCTATTTTATTTTGTAAAAAATTTATTAATATATTTATAAAAAAAATTAATTAACAATTTAAAAAAATATATACTAAAATTAAATGAGCTTACATATACTTTAGATTCATAATTTCTAAACCGTAGATTCATAATTTAAATACAGTAGGTTCATAATTTCTATACAGTAGATTCATATTTTCTATACTGCATATTCATATTATATGTACTGTAGATTTATAATTTCTGTACTGTAAATTCATAATTTCTAAACTGTATAGTTATCAAATTATGAACATATAGTTCTCTGATTTGTGAAAACAGAATTCAACAATTGAAATCTAAAGTATAAATTTTATGAATCTACAATAACAAAATTACGAATCTACAATATAGAAATTATGAATATGAAACCGTGCCCACAGTAACAAAATTTGCCAAACTCTTTGTATATTTTGTTCCACATCACTCGTGAAACAAATAATAGTTTTAAATGACTTCAGTTATTGGGTTAGCCAATCCAAGTCATCATGCTTATCAGTTTTGGACTTATCAAGTTAAAACCTTTTGATCCTAATTTTTTTTTTTTTTTTTGGGGGTCTTATCGCATGGTCAAATTTATCTATTTCAAATTAAGATTGACATCCTTATCATTAATGCAAGGCTAAAACCTTCTAGGATGTAACCTATGATACTTTGTAATTGCCTTTTTTTTTTTTTTTTTTTTTTTTAAAGAGGATGAGTAATAAATTATTACCTCGAATTTATTATTTTAAAAGTGTTGCACATCACAAGCTTTTATGGATAAAGTATTAATAAACATGGATAAAATTTGTGACATTTTAAATTAAGATACAAAAATTCAAAGTGTAACAAACTAACATATTCACATTAATAAATATTTTTTTTTTTGAATGTTACTGGCTCTATTACGTTGTAGTATCTGTTCATATACTTTCTCAACCTACTGAAACACAAAAAACCAACCAATAACGCCTCCACTAAAATTCGAACTCACAACCTTTCAAATGGAAGTCCAACCCAAATACCATTAGACCACATAGTTTTGGTATATTTACATTAATAAATATAAACATGAAATATCATTAGATCAACTCCAAATCTTTAATTTCAAATTTAAAAAATATAATTTAATAGTTAATTCACACTTTAAGGGGATGTTTGGTTGGATGGAAAAGTTTTTCCATGAAAAATATTTTCTTTAAAGTGGAGGAAAATGTTATTTTTTTGGTGTTTGGTTCATGAAATATATTTTCCATTAGAAAATGAATTCTTCAAATTTGAGCAAAACAAAATCCTTAGTTAGACCAAGGATTTTGTTTTCCATGAATATGAGAAGAAAAAATGATGTGGTTTGACTATTTTGCTCTTGTTTTCTTTCTTAATTATATTAATCTTATTAATTTGTAAAGGCATATATGTCTTTATATTCGTTATTTTTTACAATTCCAAATTTAACCAAACAATAGAATTAGTATTCCTAGTAATTTTATTTTTACCAACCAAATAATGAAATTCATCTTCCTAGTAATTGCTTTTCCATGAAATTTCAATTCCACTTCTCTTAAAATATTTTCTGCGAACCAAACGAGCCCTAATTCTCAACATTCAAGTGTTAAAATGTAAACATTAAAATAAAGATCGAACAACGTTATTATTATTTTGGGAAAATGGTCAAATAGGCCCTCGAACTTTAGCTTAAAAGTCAATTA